ATTGTGTCAGTTGCGGTCGAGATAAATAGGATGGCTGGCGTTGTTGCCCGCATTCATCTCATATTCTTACATATTCAATTCCAACCTCACCTCAAGTCTGCGAAACCGGACCACTGCAGCGTCTAACAATGCAAGCCCGCATTCTTGTCCATGAGTAGTGGCATGGCGCTCACCAGCATTTCAACAAAAATGGGATTTTCCCTCATGGGCCGGAGTGATTGAGGAATGCAGCTAGGTTCAAATATGCGTGCTCCAGCATATTCAGCAAAGCAAGTCAACCTAGAAGCATACATGCAGCCTGGTGAATGGGATAGATGGAATGCAAGACAACAAGCGTCATGCAAAGCCCCTTCCGCTGCCGCTCGCAGTAGCCGAACGGCCCCCACGCCGAGGAGAAGAAAACAAGCAAACGCTCCGGGTGCGGAGTTTCTATGTTCTGTCGGGCTTGCATTGCAGCTATGTCAGCACCTCTGCGAACCTGCTGACCTTGTCTCTCCATCTGTAATCGCTACCTTATGCTACCGCCTCGGCTTCGGGATGGACAACATGCATTCACTGCGTGAATATCTGAATGCTGATGACCAACGTAATGCCAGGTGACGTCAGGTGGAGAGCTGTCATCGCATGGCAAAGATGAGTAGTTGAACGGAGTGTCCGGGCGTGGTGGCGTCGAGAACGGATTTTTCATGTGCCAAATTTCTTAATTCCCCATCACGTTGCTTTTTTTTTCGGGTGACAAGGGTATCCGTACCGTAAATACGGTCGGCGCCAACGGATACTTCGTCCATCTGACAGTTCCATTGACGTATGCCGATCTCCTCTAGCAGGTAGGATTGAAGCGCAATCCGCCAGCCCATCCGCCGTGTCCGTCTGCCATCCTTCAACTCCCAAGTGCCTGGGATAATAAAGTAGAGGCGCCAGCGCGAAACCTCCGTGGGAGCCAGGTAGGATGCCGTCGCAGGTGCACGAGTGTACGGGGGTCAACTTGAGTGGTGGCAGATGGTAGATTGCCTGGGACTCTGGATCGGGGGCCATTATGCCGATCAGCGGCACCGGACCAGATTAAGCAGCGGACCAGATTAAGCAGCGGACCCTGAAAGTATTAGTCCCTGATGATCAATCGATGGAATTCTGCTTGGCTCCGCTGCATGACTGCCAGTGCAACAACCACCACCGCGGCTCTCTTCCGTTCGCGACATCGTTTAAACCTCCGACTACGGCGTCGCAACTGATGTCCCAATCCCGGCGGGCTTTTAACCACACAATTCGAGGCCGAATTGCGTGCGCGGCATGTCATGGGGTCTCGTTCTATTGCTTCCTAAGCTGGACCAGGATGAGGAAGTTCCCCGAAGCGGCCGACCACGGTCAGCACAATGCTTCATTCCTTGGGCGGTGTAGATGAATGGCTGCCTCACCGCTTTCGCATGTTTCACCGACCAGGCAGAGACCCTGGGGAATGAGCGGGGGGTGTCGAGGGGGAGCTCAGGAAGAGAGGAGTCCAGGTGCAGCATCGTCGAGACCATCGTCCGGGGAAAGGCACGGATCGTGAGTATTGGTCCTTGGGGAACGTTTGGGTGTGGATGAAGGGTGGTTGCTTGGCTGGGCGGCTGACAGGCTGGCCACGTTCGGCGTGGGGGAGCTAAGCCAGGTGAAGCATGGGAAAGGTCCCGTGTAAGGAAGGTGTAGCAGACAACACCGACTAGTACCTACTTTAGACTCAGAAAGAGAGAGCGTGTGTGGAAAAAAAAGTTCACTAGTCTAATCCGTCTCAACGGACCCTTCGCGGGTGAAAATTGCAATTCACCGAGGCACTACAGGTCATGAACGATTTTTCATCGCTATTGCCCTTTCGGTCCGTTGCTCCTTCCCACAGAAAGACACATCAGACTCACTCCCAAAAGGAATAAAGAAAGAAAACCAGGTCGTTTGCTTTGGACGGAAAGTATTATAAATCTGCTCCTCCCCGCTTGCCACACACCACGCATATTCGGACTTTACGGTCACAAGTCGTAAGGATAGCCAATTTTGAACCGAAAGAGCCTGCCATCGACATTTTGACTTTCTTTCCCTCGCACGATCACCCAAGGTTCCCTCGGCTGCCGTCAAAAACAGCAGCATTAACAACATTGGATCGATACGAGAGCTCTGTTCCGCCCACCTCTAACGTCAACCACATCCACACACACCACGGTTCCCTGGCTCGTCCGTACCTTGCTGCCCTTTCTCCATAACCTTGTCCACCTTGGTCCAAATTAATCCCTATTTTTCTCCCACACCCACTCAAAATAGTCCCGCGGAACCTGACTCTTCCCTACGGACCTACGCTATCTTTCTCCACCGTCCCAAACAACCGTCTCATCAGCATTGGACCGAAAAAAGCGGCAAATCAGACCCCACCGGAGACAGCTTTTCGATAGCCCATATATCAGCAGCCATGGCTCCCCTCCCTATCTCTGAAGAGCAACTGCTCAACCTTTCATCTCTTCCCACCTACGGCTACACAATGGCTTCTCAGAACGTTCAGACGCCCGTTACGGGTTCCACCGACGCCTCTGTCCAGGGCGACTACTTCACCTCCATCCAGAGTTCTACAACCACCTCTTCGCGCACCTCTGCCGAGATCCAGGATCGCCCCGTTATCACTCCTGGCGGCACAATTACGACCTCTTCCGCCCTCCAGAGCAAGAACGCCCTTCCGCCCCTCTCCCGCGACTTCCCCAAGCCCACCGCCGAGATCGATGTCGAGGAAGCTCTTTCCCGCAAGCCTGGCCGTTGGACTGTCAGAGGAGCCATTGCCGTCGAGCGACCCGTCCAGGTCGTCGACGAGGAAAAGGTCAAGGCTCAGCGCCGCAAGGCCCTCGAGGACGCCAAGAGGGAGCTCTTCGCCTCCAGCGAGGCTCTCAAGAACGTTCCGCTCCCGCCGCGCAAGAACAATTTCTAGGCGACGACGAATCACGGCCAAATGGGACAAGACGTCGCTGGCTACGGCAACGGTGACGCAGTGTTACCGCCAGCGACGACGGTTGAATTTCGGTGTTCTTGCATTTTCAGTACACCTCGACACACGGCTTGTTCGGCACGCGAACGGACTCGCGTCGAGCACCTTGCGCCAGTCGAGGACGATACCCAGGCGTAAAATCGGATTGATGGACGGACGGACGGGCGGAAGAAGCACTAGTAGTCTGGGAGGAAGGCAGAGGCGTCGGACATTGCAACTTCAGGGCAGTCCAGTAGCGCACAGAGATATGAATGTCTTTGCACCTCACCAAACGGCGTTTCATTCGAGCATGAGCAATTTCTTATTTTTGGGGGGTTCGCTTGATGAATATGATCAAGAGGGACGGGAAAAGTGACAACGTACTGCGTTTTGCGGTAATCTGCCAACTTGTACATACGTGCAAATGAGTTAAATCCTAATACACGGCTTCGGCCAACCTAACCAGTCATCCACTCTGCATTCCTACACTATTGTACATGGACGTGGCCTTAGTCAAGACGCGCCGCTAGCGAGAAGCCGTACTGGATCATAGCAATGAAGCCAGCCAGGTTGATGAGGGTGGAGATGCCGTGAAGCTTGCCAAAGGACTTGTTGAGAGCCTGCATCTCCTGAGAATGCGGCGCGGCGTCGTAGCTCTTCTTTCCATCCTTTTTCTCTGTTTCCTCTACGTCAGTACCTCATTTCTCATCCCAAAATTAGGACGCCTTATATTAAAGTCATCGTCAAGTCATCGTCGATATCAACTCACCTTGGGCATATCTAGCCTTCATGACCGTCACGGTCTTGGGCAGGACGACGGCAAGGTTGACGAGGCCCGTCAAGAACATGGTGGCGATGGGCAGCAGAGCAGTGTAGCGGTTCGACTCCTGGAGGAGGCCGGTGATGCTGCTGGCCTGCTCGCCGAGGAGGCCGCGGCTGCCTGGGTAGGTGAGGGCCATGAGGGCGGGGAGTGCCGTCTGGATAGTGAAGTAGACGGGGAACAGGGCGTTTTGGGCGGTTGCAAAGGCCGGTCGCTCGAGAACACGGAACATTGTGATGCCATTCACAAACGACTTAATTTTTCGTCCGGTTAGTCAACTGTCAGACTTGCTGACATTGGGTGTCCAAGCTACGATAGTGACATACATGGAAGAATGTCGTTCCTAGGAGGGCTCCATAGCTGTGTCGATAGTGTTAGAGTATCGATGAATGACGACGGACGATCTGACTCGATGCGCTTGAGAGGGAACGGCTTACGAGATGATGTGGTAGGGCCCCGGGGAAAATGCGATGGAGTCTGACATGATGGGCAACGGCGGTCACTGATGCAAGGTTTTTGATAATGGTAGGTAACCCGTTTGGACTGAGGTTAGATGACGAAGAGTGGTTGCATTGATTGAGAGGCTATAAAATGATGCGGTGCCATCTGGAACGAGCCGCTGGTGAGGAGTACAGGGGTTCCGTCGAATGTATGAGGTCACCTCGGCATAGCTCCATTCCTTGCACCAGTGCCAGCTCGGGGTCCTTAAACTTCCGTCCTTACTTTACTTGCAAGTCCAACGCCTAGAGTTCACATACAAAGTTGGATATATACTATTTCCTCACAATTTGACGCCCAATTCGCAAGTTCAACTTTCATTTACGTCTAAGAAAGATGAAGTATCTTTCTGACATGGTTGGGATTGAATTAAAAGCTGACAGTCAAGGAATGGATTGATTCGCTGGGGCTCTTTATCGCTATCGCCACGTGACTTCGTGTTGGCGACGGCCAGTCTACACTGTAGCGCGCTTCCCAGTGTAAGGTACCCAGGTCGCGCCGGAGCCTGGAGCTCAATGGACCTCATCTGCCTAAACTGAGCCAGGATCTAAGTCAAAGTCTCCGTGCGCCAATGTCCTTCTTAAACGAACCCTTCATCACCTGCTTAGAACTTCTTTTGCGTACTGAAAACCCCTACATTGAGTTCAATGCCTTGCCTTTAGAACTTCCATCTTAAGACCCCTACTTCTTCTAATCAACTTCAAAATGGCGGACAAGGAGGCATCAGTCTACATCGTCGACCTCGGGTCCTCCATGGCCGACTGCCACAACGGCCGCACCGAATCGGACCTGGACTGGAGCATGCGGTACGTATGGGACAAGATCTCAACCACAGTCGCCGCTTCGCGAAAAACGTGGACCGTCGGCGTCATCGGCCTCAAGACGGATGAGACCCAGAACGCCATGGGGGAAGAAGAGGGATACGGCAATATTTCAGTCTTACAGGAGCTCGGCCCGATGACAATGACTTCTCTGAGGGAACTCACGGATGCGGTGAAGCCGAGCGAGACGGAGACAGGCGATGCCGTCTCCGCGGTGGTCCTCGCCGTCGACATGATTGAGACGTTTACCAAGAAGCTCAAGTATAAGCGGCGCATCTACCTCATTACCGACGGCATGTCTGTAATTGACGGCGACGATGTCGATTCGATTGCAAAGAAGATCAATCACGATGGAATTGAGCTGATTGTCCTGTGAGTTCATCCATTGCACACTGCAGTGTATACTCCGCACTAATACGCTCAAGGGGCGTGGACTTTGACGATGCAGAGTTCGGCTTTAAGGAAGAGGACAAGCCGTCAATCAAGGTCCGGTATCTATGCTCATTCTCTGCTCCCATAGACTAACAACTTCCTACAGAAAAAGAATGAGGAAATTCTCAGAGATCTTGTCTCCAAATGTGACAATGCCCAATTTGCAACTATTGCAGAGGCCATAGACGAGCTCGACACACCGCGCCTCAAACCCGTCAAGCCCTACAAGACGTATGACGGACCCCTGACCCTCGGTCTCGCTAACCCTCCAGAGGGCCTCAAGATCCCACCCACGCCCGCAGTCATCAATGTCGAGCGCTACTTCAAGACCAAGCAAGCCAAAGCCCCGACCGCCTCCAGCGTCGTGGTATCGGCTGAACCCGGTCCCTCGCAGCAGCTTGAGGGCGGCGACCCAATGGAGGGTATCGAGTCGACGTCGGCTGGCTTCGCGGCGGTCAAGTCGGCGCGGGCGTACAAGATCAACGACCCGGACGCGCCGGGTGGCAAGCGTGATGTCGAGTTCGACTCCCTGGCCAAGGGGTACCAGTATGGCCGCACGGCTGTCGCGATCAGCGAGTCCGAGTGGAACGTCACCAAGCTGGAGACAGTCAAGACTTTTAGCATCATTGGCTTCATTCCCTGCGAGAAGGTAAAGTCCTGAAATGACTTCTTCCTGCTATGAAAAACGCGCCTCTTTTCTCCTTTCTAACAAGACACCTCCCGCGCAGTACGAGCCATTTCTCAACATGGGCGAGACGTGCGTAACGGTTGCCCGCAAGTTTGACGAAAAGTCGCAGCTCGCCCTGTCATCCCTCATCCACGCCCTCTACGAGCTGGAGTCCTATGCCGTCGCTCGGCTTGTGGTCAAGGAGAAGAAGGACCCCGTCCTCGTCCTTCTGGCCCCGCGCATCGCGCCGGACATGGAGTGCCTCTACGATGTGCCCCTTCCCTTTGCGGAGGATGTTCGCGGGTACCAATTCCCGCCGCTCGACAAGGTCATTACCGTCAGCGGGCAGAAGATCACGACAAATCACCGCTTGCTCCCTGGCGACGAGCTGACAGATGCCATGAGCGACTACGTCGACTCTATGGATCTGGGTACCTTTGGTACTGATGACGACGGGTACGTTTACTTCTCAGCATGCAATTCCAATTTCAACATCTGCTGATGTCCCACAATTCAAGAAACCCGTCAGAGTACGCTGCCATAGACGACACGTACAACCCAATCATCCACAGAATCAACCAAGCCATCCGCCAAAGGGCAGTCAACCCAGAAGGCGAGATTGACCCAATCCCTCCCATCCTAGTGCGCTACGCCGCGCCCCCTGAAGATCTAGTTGAGAAGTCAAAATCCCAAATCGAGAGTCTCATCTCGGCAGCGCAAGTGAAGAAAGGTAAAGACCAACCCCCTTTTCCCCTTCACCTTAAACCTCTTTTCCTGTACTTTCAGGGCGCGGTTCCACTAACACAACCTCCAACAACTTAGTACCCCCAAAAGCAAAGGGAAAACGCAAATTCGAAGCCGCAAAACCCCTCTCGGGCCTCGACGTCGACGCCCTTCTGGGAACGACATCCAAGTCCGCCTCCAAACGCCCCAAAATCACCCCCGAAAACGCCATCCCGGACCTCAAGCGTGCGCTCGCCACCGCGGAAGACGAGTCCGAGATCCGCGACGCCGCGAAGCAAATGGCCGCCGTCGTCGCGCAGCTCGTGACGGACAGCTTCGGTGACAACAATTACGCTCGCGCGTCCGAGAACCTGAGCGTTCTCCGCCGCGGGCTCGTCGAGCTCGAGGAGCCGGGCGTGTATAATGATTTGATCAAAGACCTCAAGAAGAAGATGCTCTCGGGCGAGCTGGGCGGGGATCGGAGGGAGATGTGGTGGCGGGTGAGGACGTCGAGGTTGGGGTTGATTGATCAGGGGACGTCAGAGGTTTCGAATGTCAAGAGCGAAGAGGCTGATGAGGTTTGTTCTCTCTCTATTTGCTGGTTTGATGTGTTTCAGTGATCGGTTTTTTTTTTTTTTTTTGCTAACTTACGTTGCAGTTTTTGAAGTCAAAATGAGTGGCGAGGTCAAATCACAGCGGGCGTTGGGAAAATTCATGATGGTCTATGGGGTATCTAGTGTAAGCCCCGAATGAGCAAGAGACGAATTCCTGTTCATGCAATTTCTATGCACGCCTAATAAGCCATCCTCCAAGCGTGCTCACGTGTATGCGTTGAAGAAGAATGCTCTTCCACATGCCGGCCCAAGCAACTTCACTTCGCCTCAACCTGCTCCTTCTCAGCATTGTCCCGGTTCTTGTCAACTCTCTCCCTGACAGCCACACCAAGCATCGCCTGCATGGTATAAGCCGCGTCGTTACCCGCGTTGTGGAGGTTGCTGTGCTCGATGCCCAGGTCAGTCAGCACCATACCCAAGCTGCGGCCCTGCGATTCACCCCGCCACGCCTGGTGCATGTCCTTGGAGTCGAGGGTACGACTCGCGACGCCGCTGATGCCCCAGAGCTCCACGCCCATCTTATCCAGGTATCCGAGATCGGCTCCGAGGTCGTGGCCGAGGAGGACGATGGTGCGGGGACGCTTGTCTTTGTCGGCGGCGTCCTCCTTACGGTCGAAGGAGAGGTCGCTGACGGCGGTGCGGACCTGGTCGGGGAGCTCGCTGAGCTTAGGGTACTCGCTCTTGCTGTATATTGTTAGTTGACGCTTCTCCTCGAGGGTGACAGCAAACTACGTACCCAAAGTTGAAGAGCTCAGGACAACCCTTGATGTACTTGCGGTTACGGATGTGACGGTATTCGTAAGTAACGAAATGGTGGTTCTTGATAAACGAAACCCAGTTGCGGCCGTTCTCGCCAGGCGGAACGCCAACGAGGTCATTGGTGTCCAGAGTCGAGATTCCAATCTCCAAGACTGTTCCGTGGTGCTCCTCGGCGACTTCAATGTCGATGCAAACAAAGACCACATTCTGCTCCAGCGCATGAGGGGCCGGCTTATCCAGCTCGACCTCCTTGTTCTTCTCGTCAACATCGCTAGCCTTGGGACGAAGACCGAGGTACAGCTGCGCATCATAGAGGGACTCGGCCCGGTTCAGCGCCTTGTCCTGCTTCTTCTTCTTGCTCTTGGTTTTGATGTCCTTGAAGTTGGCGTGCATGTTGAGCAGCTTCATGAGCGTCTCCATTCCGAAGGGGGTGGCATCATCGCACGCGTCGTCATCCTCGGGAGACGGGATCGCGTCGTTGAGGGCGCGGTACTCGTTGTACGAGGCGGAGCGGGCGATGTACTTGGGCCGGATGGTGCAGCTGGAGCCGAACACGAGGTAGAACATCTCGCCTGGCTTACCAGCAGGGATGGTCAGCTTCGTCTGAATCGAGGCATTGACGACGTCTAGGAAGTGCTGGAATTGAATGGTCGGAACGAAGATGTAGGGCGACTGATCCAAGGCCTTGGGGTGGTAGACGTAAAAGCTAAAAAGGAGTTAACTTCTCTCGTATGATGAAGCCTGTCTGGATCTCGATGGCTACTTACAAGTCCCAATTGTGCTCCTCGGTTATGTCATCAAAGAAGGGAGTTGCCTGTATTGGGCGTCAGCTAGAGAAATGATGCATCTTGACAGCGTGAGTCGCTCACCTTCGGTCGATTGGTCTTGCCGATGAAGCTCAGAGGGTATCTCTGGACGACATCCCACGAGACGAAGGCCATGTTCTCCGCCGAGAGGTCGCCCGCCTTCATGCCCTTGAACTCGGGAAAGTCTTGCTTCATTAAGGCGTTGAAATCCGCAGGAGCTAACTTCTCAGACTTGGAAGGCTCGAGAGGTGGTCCGATATAGTAGGGAGTTTTCTTCTCGACTGGCTTGGTAATGGATTTTCCCTGAATTGCTGCTTTTTTGGCTGCAATCTGGCGATCGAGAAGGAGAGGGTCCAGGACAATTTCCTCTAGGGTATCTTCTACGTATTGAGAAGCCTCTTCCTCGAAGAAGATTTCGTCGCCAAAAGCTCCGAACAGACGCTCGAGCTGTTCAGCCTGGGCGACGGCCATTGCGGAGTGAGTGTGCGGAAGGTGTAAAGAATCCGTAATGTGTGGATGCACGAGACAAGTGGGAGATGAAATTCTGAAAGACGAAACAAAGTGCCTGAATCGGCCAAAAAGAAGCGGTTTGGTTTAACTTAGTACGTATGAGTGAGACCTTCTCGTGGATGTGTGGTTGACGGGGAATTATTGGGTTGACGAAGCTGAGTTGAACTTGGTAGAAGTAGAAGGGGAGATCTCTGAGTTGGGGCGCCCTTTTGAAGGTAGAAGGCTCGTGGATCAAAGAGAAAGAGAAAGAGGCATTGAGATGAGGTGCCTTCCCTAACGGTAATTGGAATACTCAGCTAGAAGATGGAACAATCAAGATGAGTAGAATTACAAGGCGGAGTGTGGACAAAACTCATAAATCCAGCCTTGGAAGATTATGAACACTGCAGGGAGAATAAACGGAGGCTGATCATAGAGACTGCAGTGACAAAACTCCCTCAAAAATACATTGCTAGGATCATTCAAGCACTGTTGCTGTGAGCACGGAGATTTGAATTCTTTCATGCCCTCCGTGCCTGCATTTATGGTAGCAACAACTTGACAAAACTCAGAGTCCCATAGGACGATGTGGTCTGAAATGATGAGAGATCCGCTGATACTCTCTCAATCTGCATAGCCTTCTGTCAAGAAAGGGTCATTAAGAGGACATAAGAGTCTTTGAAATCACTTTGCTAGCTGCTACTGAGAACGTCTTTGACAAGTCGTATGTAGTTGACGATCAGAAGAATCGAGAAAAGGTCAACAGCAATATTCCAGCAGAATTAGATCTCTCTAAAGCGAAGAACTTGCGAGTTGCAAAGACCTTTTCCCCCACTGAGCTGCTCTCAGCTAGGGAATGACTGAGATGACCAGACCTTGTGGACAGAATTAGGCACTTACCTCAAGGCTAGTTACTGCAAATAAGTCGGCTGGAAGAAGAAACAAAGCTTTCAGCGACATCTCAGGCAGGCTGGACAGATTAAGTTTCCATGACGGGACGCTTCCAAACGTTTACTTACAAGTAGATATGTCGAAACCCGAGCATTTGCGATGTCAAACGTTCCAGTCGTCAAGCTGTAAGATGGCTTGAAGTGGTGAAAATAGCTAGCGGCAAACAGGTGAAAACATCTCAGCTGTCTAACTTTGGCCATGGATATATGCATTGATACTATTCAGATCGAAAACTGCTTCGCAATTGGATCAGACTGAAATTGTTCACGCAATTCTTACACAACAGCCGCGGCCCAACAAACCTACCTCAACACTAGACAACTTACTGTATCAGCGCAAACAGCAGCCCAATGTCCAAACTTTCCCCAGTCAAAGCATTCTCACAGACAATCCGAATCGATCCACCCTACCTTAGGGTGACTAGGGGTGTCTCCATCCATCGCACCATCACTGAACGCCAACGGCCACCAGCTTGCTTTCCTTTCCAACCTGCTCTTACGCTTCAAAAGGCGCTCGTCCACATGTAGCTCACAGAACGGAGGCAAATGCGGTGATATCATATGGTGTATGGAAGAGAAGAGAGACGAGAGGGTCTCATGCCATTAAACATAATGTTACAACAGGCCCCGATACCCAAAGACCAGACCATCCCAGCCCGGCCATACGCGAACCCCCTCTTTTTAGAACCCCTCTGAGGAGGTCTATGTCGTCGCCTGTAAAACGCCACCGCTATGAAGAACGACTAATCTGTTATTACAAAACCATGTAGGCACGCGGAATTCGGACTTGGGCAGGAAAGGGGCGCCGCCCGTCCATCCGTTCGTTGATCCCATGGTATCTTTGTTTCGTTCATATGTTTCGTTCGTGCTTGTTGTTACATTTCCAGTTTTTTGGACGCCGAGATGAGGACGGCTAGTGTCAAGACGTCGTCTTCTCGAGCAGTTCCTTTGCCTCGTTGACCTTGGTTGCGAGGTACGGGCTACCGCCGCGATCGGGGTGGTTCAGGAGCATCAGGGTGCGGTGCTGCTTGCGAATCTTGTCACGAGTGACGCCGCTCTCCCTAAGAACGCACCATGTTAGACCTTGTTTAGTCTTTCCGACCCTCTCAGGTTGACATCGTCGTCCCGAGTGTTTCGCCAGGTTTCCGTGCTTCGGGGGTGAGGGTTCGTCGGCTTACTGGAGGGACAGAATGAGGCATGCCTCCTTCTTGTTCATCTTGGGCTCGAAGCCACCCTTGTAGAAAGCCTTGCCCATCGCGCCCACGCCGCCGCGTGATCGGCGCCATGCGACCAGACCGGCTCGGCCCTGTAGGAACACTTGTGTTAGTCGTGGCTCTACATTGATGCGCTTTGCTTCTCTCGTACCAAGAAAGCTGCGACAGCAGCGCCGCCTCCAATAGCAAGAACAGAAGCCATGGTCACTAAGATTTCGTGTTGTGTGTCGTCGATGAGTTATTGGAAGGTGGTGGATGACTGCGGAAAAAAGCGGATGGGGTATCGCGAAGCAGGGTCTTCGGGTTTGGAGGAGAGCTTTTTTTTGGGCTGCAGTCGCCGCCGCTGATAGAGCAAGCCGCGATGCGCCGGTCTTGGTCCGTGCCGAGCCGTTTTTCGGAAGCTGTGTTGAACCGTTCCGACAAGCCCAGTGTGAAAGCTGGATATGTATTATGTCAGCAGACCCTTGGGTTCCACCAATCCCGCTGCAATCTTATCGCAGCAAAGAACCACCTCCGTCCCCCCCTGCCCCACCACAATCGATAAGCGGTGCCTCGGAGCGGCAGAAGAAAAATTTCTAAAAAACTTTTGGAGAGCGAGGCCTTGATCACCGCCTTCTGAACCCTCCCCGTGTGTGTTTGGAAGAGTCGTCGAAACCAACACCAACAACCCAACAACCTTGTGACTACTCCCGTGATACCCGTGAAGGTATCGACGCCGTCACAATGAGGTATGCTCTTGTCTATCATTCCATTGGTCTTACACGTCAACCATTGATCCGCGGTTTACTTTCACTCCATTGGTTTTTGCAAGCTTTCTAATTTCGTGATGCTTCTAGAATCGAGACGTGCTACTTTTGTAGTCGCCCTGCCTACCCCAGCAAGGGCATCACCTTTGTCCGAAATGACTCCAAGGTCTTTCGCTTCTGCCGCAGCAAGTGCCACAAGAACGTACGTCTCTAAGTCGTCTTCAACGACTTTTGCGAAGAACCCAAACCCCCCCTTCCCCTCGGCCAATGGACTAACCGCCCCTTGGCACTACAGTTCAAGATGAAGCGCAACCCGCGCAAGCTCAAGTGGACAAAGGCCTACCGCGCCTCGGCGCACAAGGAGATGACGGTCGACAGTACCCTTCAGTTTGGCGCGCGGCGCAACGTCCCCGTCCGCTACGACCGCGACCTCGTCGCCAAGACGCTCAAGGCCATGGAGCGCGTCTCCGAGATCCGCTCCCGCCGCGAGCGCGTCTTTTACAAGAAGCGCATGCAAGGAAAACGCGAGCGCGAGATTGCCGCCGCACGCAAGCTCGTTGCCGAGAACGAGCACTTGCTGCCCCGCATGCGCGGCTCCGAGAAGAAGAGGCTCGCCGCCGAGGGCGCCACCGAGGAGGAGATTGCCGCCCTCGAGGCCGAGGGCCGCTTGTCCAAGAGCAAGGCCGGCAAGGTGTTTGGTCGCGAGAAGATTCGCCAGCGGGTCACTGTCGACGGCGACGTTGTCGAGGAGCGCGAGGGCGGCGTCATGCAGGAGGACGACGGCGAGTGGGACGACGAGGATGCGGAGGAGGACGACGATGACGAGGACGGCGATGTCGACATGGAGGATTGAGCTTGACGACGACAACGATGAGGGACGTTTTTGTCACGTCTTTTGTTTAACGAACCGACCAAAAGGAGGAGGGGGATCCCCCGTCCCATCGAGGGATAGGAGAAGACGGAGAAAAGAAGCCAACAAAACCGGTCGAAGAGAAAGAAAGACAAAATGCTAATCGATGAATGGGCCTCTCTCTTCTCTCCGCTCTCCTTCAGCAGAGACAAGAGTTGGTTTGGGGGGCCTTTGTTTTTATACACGGGCGTTCAGGGATACAAAAGGGCTATTTAGCATCGACGGCGTTTGGTGGCTCTGAGAAGGAATACCACAAAAAGTTATCCAAGGTCCAGATTGATTCAGATCAGTTCCTCCGTTATCTCAGCCGCCACCTCTCCTCCCGTCTTGTGGATGCCGTATCCTCCCGGTCCGCGTTGTCTGGTATTGCCACCCGGAAGCACTCCGCGATCTCGAGGGTATTCGAAGCTGTCTAGACTGAATAACGGCATGCTAACAGAAACGCGCGCCATCACGTTGTGATCGCATTCCCTTTCTCAGAAAGAAGGAGCAAGTGAAATAGACATGGCGAATGCAATCTTACAAACTGTCAAATCTCCTACATGCTCTCAAAAACAATGCAAGTGAAATCGCTCAAGACGAGCGTCGCGGGTATCAATGCCTTTCAAATATTATACAAACGAAACCACCTTAACTCCAGGTATCCCGCAATACCATCACCGGCAACGTACACGCCGTTCGGGGGATGTCATGCTTTTCAAGCACCCTCCTCCTCCTTCTTGGTAGTATGGTGAAAAGCCTTGGGCGGCATGGGCAGACCGGCCTCGACATCCTCAATAATCTTCTTCTCGAGCGCCTCCTTACGCTTCACCTCCTCCTCTTCTGTCGCCTCGGCGCCAGGCACCACGCTCCCCGTATAATTGCCGGCGCCGCCGCGGCCAGAAGCGCCCCTCGCCGCCGACCGCGCAATGCTGGCGTTCACGGCCGCCTGTGTCTTGCTCGCGAGCTCCTCTTGCTGCTTGGTGCCGGGGAGAGAGGTCGGGTCTACGTAGTTGCCCGAACCTCCTCGTCCCGCGCGCACGTAGCCGGTCGAGGTCGGTAATGTCGAGGAAGCGGCGACGTCGGTCGACTTTTGGGCCTCAATATCCTGTTTGTCGCGGAGCATTTTGAGTTAGCTACAAGTTGCTCTTAGAGGATAGGCCGTCTCGCGTATTACCTCTGGCTTGGCCTTTTCAGCATCGTCCACGTCCTTCTTTGAAAAGAAGTTCCCTGAGCCTCCCCTCCCTACTTTGCGGAAAACGTCGGACATGGTATTTGTCTCCAGGGGTCCTCGAGCTTGGTGCTGCGGGCGAAATGGGACCGCGATGCGACTAGGTCTGGCTGAATACTGCTAAAAGTCCGGAGCAATCTGGAAGACGACCACCGCAAAAGAACGGGTGCGACACAGTCGAAAACGTGGAATGAACAGGATGGAAATGCGGTAAGGAGATCAAGAGTGCTGCCTGGTATCTCTAGGCAAATGGTTCAGTAAGAAAAAGTGACGTTCGGTTTTGGTGTAATTGGCACTCCCTACCGGCTAGCCACTTGCATAGTGTGGCGCCGCGGGGTTAATCAAAGCTACGTGGGATGGGCCACTTTATCAGTGTCCGCAGTCGGGCTTCCGAGAGACAGGAATTCATTCCAGTTTATCGACGACAGACATTCCTGAACACCAGGTTGCTGTGCGCCGGTTGCCCCGAGTCTTCGGAGAATGGCTTTAATGTTTCTCGTATGGCTCCCTTTATGACAATATATTCCCTCCTCGGAACAAGACGCGTGCGGCTCAACAAGGGGAAAGACAGCTCACGCAACGCAGCACTCGCTTGTCGATCGCTGCATCCGGACATGTCCTGCCCTTCACTCATCCTGGATCTTCCATGTGCTGCTGTCAAGGGATATTCATGCTCAGCTTCGGACAAGTTCAGAGAGAGATCGACAGGTACGTCGACCAGGGCCCATGACTTCCTAGTCTTTAACAATAGCAGTGTCTTGCAAAGACATGTTTGAAGCATCTTCATCGTCGGGACAGAGATGAGTGCTCTGCAAAATCCCAAGCTGTCAGCCCTCCCCGAAAGGTGGCTGCTGAGAGACTTTCCCATTGCAGCTCTCGCGATGAGCTCTACCACCTTAGCCAGTCTAAGGGTCCAACCCCCTCTCTTTCCGGTCTCTTTGTGTGAAGGGGGAGCGGAACGCACGGGAGCGGCAGCACCAAAAACCTTCTCCCGATCCCCGATGAACCTTCCCTACGGTTCGGTGCTTCTCTATTAACACAAAGAGAAAAGAGGTCCAACATAAGGAAATATCATCATCCCACGTGGAATGCCTCTGCTGACTGCTGACGCAGGTACGCTGGCAATCGGACTGGTAAAAGCACAACTAAGAACCCTTCGCCTGGGGATGTTGTAGGCGTCCCTCGGACGCCTGTCTAATGATAGGGAGGTAAAGAGGCCCCCATTTCTATCTTAAAGAAAGCGATACTTGACGGTACGAATGTGTACCTGTGGGGTATCCACTTTCATGGACAGGGTTTTTGATAGCGACACGCATCCGACGGAGACTGGAGGGGTGATGTGCAGCTGCGGCAAGACGCGCTGATCATCCTAGTCCATTTGTGAAAGCGGCATCCACAGGTATCTCCGCTGTTCTTCTGTTCTTGTCATGACAGCGCGCGCGGGGATGGCAACGTAGCAGATAACATGCTGGACCGTTTCCGAGAGGAGCTGAGGTGATAAATCCCAGGCATCCGTATCTTGGTGGAAAGATAGGCAAAAAGCGAATTCCCATACTCACGTAAGACCGTAAGAAGGGGCGCAGCGCAACTCTGTCCTTTTTACGCTCAGTCCTATGACCTGTGAGAACAGGCATCTGCTTGTTCCGTGTCTCGATTCTTTCAAGGCGCGAGGTCGGCCGCGAAGCTGTCACCTCACCCAGTAAACCTTATCTCTCTCGCGTACAGGGTTGCGCCTTTCCAGAGAGTCCGCCGGCACAACCGTTTTGTGAAATTGTGCGGCCGGCGACGATCGGCGGGGGTTGTTGCCTCGATGGGAGAGCTTTTATGCATGGAGAAACCAGCTTCGGGATGGCATGGCACTGTTCAGAGAGTGAGGGGTGCAGCTGCAATGGAACAGGGCAGGACCCTGGCTCACTTGTCTCAACTGCCTTACTGCCGTGCTGCTGAGGTTTTGGGAGCAATCGACGATTTGGCCCAGTGGCTCCCTTTCAACCCGCTCGATGTGCTAGGAGAGCCCTGTAACAGTGAGAGACCGAAGTGTGATAAAGTTGGCGATCGACAACACGTTGACAGTTTCGCGGTGGAGTTGCCATTGGGGCGTTGCCCTTAGTGTGCTTTTGTTTTGCGCAAACCGGCTCTAGAGTGAAAAAAAAAATACGGAGTAGTCGGAGTGTGCGCCGATGCACTTGAATCCTGTGATTTGTCGAGGGACAATGTTGGGAGAATGCTTAATCGTACCTGGCCGTCTTGTGGGAACCCTTTGTCGATCACGGATCATGGGTATAGTGTAGGACACGACGAGCTGATGCCAACGTGGTTCTTGCGTTAATCAGACGCAGATGAAGTCGACCTCGAAATGCGAAGATGAATAGTTGCCCTCTTCAGTTAACGGCCAACAAGGCATCCCCGTACTGTGTCTGTTGTAGAATATGGAGACCATGCCTACTCAGTTTACTCGCAAACCCATTTTGCATGTGTTACACAGCATTGTTAGCTGCCGTCGATAATTGGTTGGACCTTTGAACAACGTTTCTTCCATCTCGATTGCTCTCAGCGCAACGACAACAAGACCAGCGCTTCCGAGAGCCTTGCTAGAAGTAAGCTCGTGGATGTTGCTTCTGATAGTTAACCTCTCAAGCAATTTGTCACCGGCTTGAGCCAACTTTCAACGACGTCCAGTTCAAGGTAGTCAAATCTCGCTAGCTGTGTGCTCTAATCTCCTAGACACTGGTTACAGTTCCTCTGGTTCAGTTGGCCACATTCAATCGCAGCGGGCGTGAAAACCGGTGAAGGGGTTTGAGACTGTCAAAGAATCAAGATGTGAAGCAGAGGAGGCGGGAGGCGGGACTAGAGGCGCAAAGCCCGCTGGCGTTACGGGAGACCCCAGAGTCCAAGTTGATGCCACAAGAACAGGTTCGCGTCCTCTTTTTTCTGAGACAAGAGCGGCTCGTCGACGTTGGGGAAACACCGAAGACACAGCTACCAACGGCAGAAACCGAGAACGCATTTTGCATGCGTTCAAAGCGTCACTTTTGGTGACTGAAACTCTGGTCACCCAGGCCTAGACTTGAACAGCTGCGCCCAGTGAAGCACTAGTTGCATGCCGAACTTAGGTAATGCCTATGAAGGCGAGGTTGGCAATATTCAAGATTCGGGCAGAGGGTGCGTTGTCTCTTTCTCGCGTGCGGTGTGGCTTGGCCATCTCCGGACATTGGCGAGTAGATTGATGTTAGAGGACATCTCTGCTGACGATCTTTGGACTGCGTTACCAATGCCTAGCCCAGGCTGAGCGATGGCATCCAGGAAACAATAGCGTCAAGTGGCAAAGGCATCCCATTCTGGCCGGTCAGAGGCAAGAGTCGGCAGCATAAGCGACGGTCTGCGTCGGGGAGCGCAATAATGACGGGGTGGACGACGTTCCGCCAGAGGCACGAGAATCCACCCGACTTGCCCAGAGCAGAAGCCCGCATGGCGCCCGATGGAGGAGGGGAGGGGGCCAGCTGACCGTCCCGAATCGCAATGGCGGCCCCCCTAGCACGGCGTGAGGGAGACGGAGACGAGACCGGGCCCAGGACTGACCGTCTGACCGATATCCTGGTCAACAGCTGGACTCTATCAAATTCCAGCAGATTGCCGGTCAGCGGAAGGTCTGGAGAGCAGGAGTGTTGTAAGAGACGGCCGACGGCGAAGGTGTAAACTGTTGGTTCCGTGCTGAGAACGAGAACAGCGCAGTAGGCCGGGCCAGAAAGGAAAGCTGTTTGGTCGGGTTCGCGTTGCTCCAACGCCGCCTCAGTCAACTTCAGGCCAGGCCGACCGTCTCAGCGGACAAGTCCTGTGATTAGTGGTCACTAGGAGGGGCCTGTATCTGGTCAGAAGGTGGTGGAGGAGGTAAGCTGGTGGTGGGGAAGCCCCAGGCGTGTGGTTGTGATGTCCGGTTCTGGCGCGGATGATTGGGAGGACGTTTCGCTGGGGTGTCTGGTTAGTGTGGAGCAAGATGGAAGAGGACGAAGAGGACAAGGAGTGCGAGAGGGGGAAGGGAGGAGTGGGCAGGGGACGGGGGTGGTGTTATCGTCAACTTACTGTGTGTGGTAAAGTACGGCAGACTGCAGTGGTGTTGGTGGTGGTGGTGGTGGTGGTGGTGGCTCTCCATCGTCGCAATCCGTTGATGGTTGTAGCACGTCTCCAAAACGGACACGAGAGCTTGAACGGCACACGGCGTAGGGCTTTGTTTGTCCGATGTTCTGCCTGTCGTTTCCCATCTGCTTTGGCCGCGATGCTTTACGTCCATTTACGGATTGAAGCCGCAGCTGTTGCCCCTGAGTTGACAAAGAATTGAACTCATGTTTGGTCCGCGCTCGGAGGGAAACTACGTCACTGGTTGAGATACGGGTGGATTGGAACTTCCCCAGGAACGTGACTGACCAGGGCACTGTCTCCACTGTGTATTTGTCACAGAATTGTACAGACAGTCGTACAGTGTGTAGTGACTTGTTACTGTTCAGGAAGAATGTGCAGATAAGATACGTACCTTCTCTTGCCCGGGATTAGATGACGCTTACCTAAGGGAGAGCTCACCGGGCCTGCACTGTGTACCTGCGTTGTTCCTCAGCACCAACATGAGAGAAGTTCGTACCTGCCTCGCACCCGCCTCGCACCCAACGACTTGTCAACCCAACAACGCCGTCGAAGACCTGTCTCCTGCTTGGCTTCCGTGTGATCAACGATCAGCAGAACCGTCCATCGGGGATTTTCTTTATTTTGGATTCTTCATCGTTTCTTTTCCCTTGTCTTTTGTACACGTACCTGTACTTGCTGTTCCTCGAGTTGCCTTGCTCCTCGCACTTCTCTGAGCCTACTACCGGTAGCATGCAGATCCAATGAAGAAACAACAGGTTTATGATAACGTCGCCTTTTTCGAAGAAAGAAGAAAACGAAACAACGGTTGTGAAGCACAGAGTACTCAAACCAAAGTGCCAAATCACAGTCAAGGCACACAGGTCGGCAATTGCAGAAACACTAGGAGGCATCCACCCGAGTTTCAATAAGACATCTTTTCCATGCCTTTTTGCGCAATGCCTACTTCGTACCTTGCCTCCTTGCTTCTTCCCACTTTTGCAGTTTACCATGGACACTCACTCCGGAGTATCATGTACTAAGGTTCTCGCGCAGTGTTCCCCAAGCTTGGGTTTCTGCCGTTGACAACCCCCTCACGCTCTCGCTCATTCGACCAACGCACAGCGCATTACGCACAGCTCACACAGCTCACAACCTTGAAGCTCGCACAACACAACTTTGGCATGACCTAGCATAGCAGCAATGCGAAGCTACTGCCTTCTCCCCCGCGTGCGAACTTCCGTTCCTGATCCGATGGAAACCACCTTCTCCAGTTAAACGAGACCAGAGGCGACCAATGCTCTCTCCCCCTCTCCGCCCTATGCCCCAACGCCCCAACTTGATGCTCACTGCTCCAGCCTCCAGCTCTATGGCCCGGGAGCAGTCGCCTGTCCTCCCGCCTGCCTGCCTCTATGGAGCCTCCACGTTAGGGGAGCAGAGCCGTCGTGGGGTGCGACGCAACTCTGAACCTGGCAATCCGCTGAAACATGCCACTTGCGGTCGATAGGCCTCTCGCTTCCGACCAAGACACGACATTCTTCACAACTCATTGGAGCCTGTTGTCTCAATCATTCCACATCGTTACCTCGCGAACAGGAAACCAAAAGAAGGAGAGAAGCAGAAAAAAAAGATTTGGCGGTCACCAGACTAGCAAGGTCCCGACAAGTCTTCAGACGACTACGAAGTATCCGTACGGGATCAAGGGGAACCAGACAATCAGAGAAATAATTAGGCACTCGAGCCAAACTACGCCACCCTGGTCCAGCTAGGGACCAAGGCACGAGTCCACCTGTGTTGGTGTACGGGCGAGGCGTTTACCAACAAAGGCCGCGTTTCTTTGAGCGTCTCTCTTGTTGGCTTAGTCGCCTGGCATAGATCCTGGGGCAGAATTACTCCCATACCACATACATCCACCGTATATCGTCATATCCGCGCTTGTTTTAAGGATACGAATCATCCAAGTTCAGAAAGCATCATCGAGAACGACCGACGAGAGGCAACAGCATCTGCGAGCACCCAAGAGTCGAGAATAAAAGTGCCATACATAAAATTGCTATTTACGATGTGCAACTCAAGCACGCTATCGGCCCTGGCCATCAATGGGTCTGGGCTCTGGGACGAAGGACGAGGGTTATGGGTTACTGGGATGGATCCATGGGTTTCGTTCACCCCTCCCCCAGTGACCTTCCCCGCCGCACCGGCGCCTTACGGACACGTCCATCGCTCGGGAGGCCGACCATCGCTCGCCCATTGCCAAAGGACGACCACGGGCCATGCTCCATGCTCCTTGTTCCTGGCGCCCGTCCGCTGCGCTCACGGTCATGTCCACTTGCACCTTCCACCACCTGAGAGGTACATGCCAGCGTACCTTGATCCGGTTGCACACTGTGGGACACGGGGAAGGGGACAAGAGAAGTGAAGGTGGAAAGATACCTACAACACAGACGGCTACGCAGAGAGAAAGAGAGAGAGAGAGAGAGAGAGAGACGGAGAGAGGACCAGCTAGCCAGCCAGCCAGTCAGTCCCCTTCCCTCGTCCATGAACCCAGCTGCGCACCTCACCCTCACTTCCAACGCCAAAGCCTACGCCCCCTTTCTCTCTCAACACACACCCAGCCCCACCCACCCTCTCTTCTTTCTCTCTCCTCTGCCGCTTTCTCCTTCTTTCCCGCCCAGCGTCGTCGCTGTCTGCGCTCTGCGAGTTGAAGGTGGGAGGGGGAGTGTCGTGAGTGTGTGAGTCTGGTCCTGCTGCTGCGGTACGGTCTTCTGCCCCTCCCCTCCCTCCTCCTTCTGGCTCCTTCATCCTAGCGACCTGGTGGTGCAATACGACCAATGAAGGCTGATGCTCGTCCCCGACCAGCGCTTCTTTTCCATTTCTTTCTGGCAACTTATTGGAAAGGGCCGTCTGGACTGTTTCGCCCATTGCTGGACTTTTTGGGTCCTCTTCCAAACGTACTCTGTCTCGAGCCCACAACTTTTTCCCTCTCACTTCAGCTACACCTCGATTCAAAGCACAGCATTCAAGCCGAAGGGTAAAGAGAAAAAAGTTGAATCTGGCCTGGACCTCGACAGCCCTGTTGATCATCAGTCGACTAACCCCAAGGCATCCTGACCGTTCAACACCACCACCACCACACTCACCACATGCTGTCGGCTGGTCCAGCTCGGAGCTACTAGGTACACCCGCCCACAGACACACCCCTGCCGAATTGCTGCTCCTCCCCAAAATAATATTATTTCTCGCCCGGAGGCTCGTCTTTGCGACTCACTCTCTACCTATCCATCTGTCTACCACCGCCAAACAACAACACACGATCCCACCGCGTTTACGAATCACTTCACTTTCACGATACTCTAGCAAGGGACAAAGTGTTCGACACTCGTTGTCGAACCTGATTAGCATCGGTAGTTGGCAATGGCCTCTTCAAAGGTATGCCCGGAATCGGGATTCCGACCCAGGCCCTGCCCTGCTTAGCTCGCTCCCAACACGCATCTCAACCCAGTCTTGCTGATCACTTCGTCCTCGTTCAGGAAATGCAGCAGACCACAAGGCCATTGAACCAACACCGTCCCTCTCTATCAACTGCTTCCTCTTCCGGGCTTACCACACGACAATCCCACTCTCGCACCAACTCCCATTCCATCCTCAGCGGCGCTCTCAATGCCAACCACCGTGTGACTCGCCGCAAGTCAATGACAAATACCGCCGCGAACGCGGCGGCCATGGCAGCGGCAATCAAGGAAGTGGGCGGCGACAAAGTCACGCCCATTGCCGTCAGCTCTCGTAGAAACACGGCCTCAAAGAGTGCTGCAGCCCGCGCCGCCATCATCGGGAGTCTCCCCTCGCCTCCAGCGAGTCTGCCGACGCGTAAATTCCACTTGGATGGGAAGACAGAGATCCACGAGAGCGCCATTGAGGATGACCCAGTTAACGGGTCAGCCGACGAAGGCGATGATGATGCTCAAAAGGCTCGTATTCGTCGCGCCAGCGATGGACAGCCTCTCGTAAAAGAGGGCAGAAAGTTCAACCGCATCGAGCTCAAGTGCGAGACGTGCGGAAAGGGATACAAGCACAGCAGTTGCCTGACCAAGCATTTGTTCGTTTCCCTTCCTCTTTCCCAATTTCCTCATTCCATCCCAAAGATCGTAGCGTGGGTTTCGAGACTTGCATACTGGGTTCCCAAAATCAGAACTAGTCGAGCAGTTTGTTGACTCATTTCTGATCAGGTGGGAACACACTCCCGAGTGGTCCTTGACTTCCAAGCTGCTTATTTCTAAGCATCAGCAAGTCCAGCTCCTTGAGGCTGCCTCTGTCTTGTTGACCATGAACCACAAAGAGGAAGGCGATGCGGCGACTCCCCCGGATTCCGCCAAGGATTTCCCTAGTGACCAAGAAGAGTCGACTTCTCCCGCTGCTTCTGGATATTCAGACGAGCGACACAGCTCTGCCGATACCACCCCACCTCCTCAATTGGAGGGATTCTCGACATCGGATCGTTCGTTCGCGAAGCGGTACGGGTCCGGAAGTGGATTCGGTCGTTCTTACCAGTCGGCGCCGTCCATCAATCCTCTCGTGACAGGCAGCATGCCCCGTGGATCAGGATTCTCTTCACACTTCCGTCAAACCAGCCAGGACCAACGACCGCCGTCGTCAGGAAGAAACGCCACCGGACAAGAAGATCAGGATCTGGCAGCCGCCGTGGAGCTCCTGAGCTGCAGCTTCAACAGCAACAACGGGAGAACAGTGCAGCTTCCAGCAGATGCCCCTCCTGTGCCCCCGCTACCGGCGCAATATCTCGATCAAGCGGCATCCTTCTCGAGTGCCGGGTTCAGCGCAGGTTTCAGTGCCGGATTCCTGAACAGCTTCCCTAGCAGGCAGCCAGAGAGCTTCACACGAGGCGAGGTCCGCGGCTCCGATGTCAAAATGGAAGACAGCGACAGCGTGATGGACGATGATGACTTTGACCGCCGATCTCGATCTCGAAGCGACGAAGATGACGACGGCGTCTTCGGACGTATGGAGGAATAGCGAAACTCCGTTCCACGATTGATGCCGACGGTATCTGAGGAGATGAGTACATAAAGATGGAAAGTGAGGGGAGGATGTGTTTCTTTTGTACCACCATATACTAAACCCTGTAAATGAGGTGGTTCTGTCTCCGCCGCCGATCTCTCAGCACCAAGGAGTGGAGGGCCCGGTCTTGCATCATGATCTGGCCCAGCAAGGCAGGTCGAAAGGATGGGATCGAGATTGCAACTCCACGAGGTTAAAGTGAGAGACGGAGAGGGCGTCGAGCGAATGCCCAAAGCTGTCACGCTGATGGTTCTGACGAGACAAACGAGTGCGATGCCCCAAGATTGGCCGCGACGCTCAGTGTTCGGTATGAAACCAGCACAACGAAATGAAATGAAAAAGATAAAAAAGTTCAAAAAAGCCTGCTTGATATTCGCCGCTGGTGACCTGTGTGACTTTTTGTCTGGATGAAAAAGAGGACTATTGATCGCGACGAGGCACTTGGGCTTGGAGCGTGGCTAATGTTTACCAACGACGATGGCTGAAGTGACGAGACAAGGTGGATGGTGGTTGGTGAGTTGGAACGTCAGCAGCAACCTTAACCAGGCACACCCGGAGCTTTGCTCCCGAAAGGCGAAGATTTGCATGTGAGCTCATCAAGCTTTGAAGATCACACAGACAAGACAGACACCAAGCAAAGCAAACGGGGAGGCAAAGGTGAGGTAGGCCAATTTTTGACGAGGTACAGATAGCATCCTCCTCCCCAAGACTTGAAAAGCTTTGGGGGGAGGTTTGCATGTATTAAATACTTCTAGAGCGGAAGGGGACGATGAAGAAATTTGATTCGAAGAGAGAAAAATGAAAACAAAGAGAAAGAAAGAGAAAAAAAGACGGAAGAAAAAGTCTGCAATTTTACGGATCATGGACGGAGCCAGTAGAAAATATCTATCCTTGAAAGCCCGCTCACAGTGGAGTTTTCCCGCTTCGCTGGGCGGGCTGCTGAGGCACGGCGGTGGTTGTTTGGTGGCCGGCGGTGTGGGGAAGGAAGGCAGGAGGACTCGAGAGTTCCATTGAGAGAAGGAAGACCTGTTGGTGGCTCTTTCCGGTTGGACTGTTACCCACTGTCGGACCACACAGCTTACCTCACCACCTTCCGCGAGCTGCTGTTACCCCAGCGACGTCACCTTTACCCGTCCGGACAGCTTCTTTCTCCACTCGGCATCATAGGTAGGCCACTGTCCACAATCCACAGCAGCTGCCCTGGGCGAAAAAAAAAGCGTACAGGTCTCACTTTTTCTTTCCTCTTTGCCCTCATTGATCTCATCGTGTCGCAAACCGCTTATCGCAAACGGCTGCTGCTGCTCATTTCTCCTACAGCCTCGCTACCCTTTTTTTCTTCTTGCTCTACCCCTCTCGTACGTCTGCAACTGGCGCATCGCCAATCCCGACTTCGAGGTCCTTCACTACGAAAAACATAACACGTTGCTTATTCCATCAACACTCACACGCGCAAAGCACAGCACAAACAAGATGCCCACGTTAAGACGCAGAAGAGAGGCATCGCGCCCCGTCGAGGAGCCCGAGGTCGACGAGACCACATCCAACGCGATCGAACCGATCGCGAGCCACCTCGAGCGGCTCGACACAGCACCCGACGGCACAGTCGAGGCACTGGCTGTTGTCAACGACGCGACAGAGGTGGCGGCGGCAAAAGAGACCGAGGCACTCCAGATTGGCGAGAGAGATCGCGATCACCAGCACCCGCGGAAGCAGCGATCGCACCTTCCGAAAGCGCTTCAGTTCCCGCTTGTCACGGTGTTGAGCTTTAGCATCTCGAGTCTGTGCTACAGCTTTCTCAGCGAGTGGAGCCGTGGGGAGCTGGCGGGGATTTCAAAGAGCTTGGATACCTGGGGCGAGGTCGCGACTTTGGCAGGATGGCGCATGTAAGTTGCCTTTTGAATCACAGAAATCATCTTTCTGGGGGGGTGGGGGGTTCGCTCGAGGACCGGGCAGAGAAATGTGTTTTTGCTGACAATCGCGACCTCATGTAGATTCGAGCTTGCCCTTGGCTGGTTCGGCAACTTTGATAGCTACGATCTCGCAGCGCTCAACCTGCTCGCGCATGGTCCGCCGGTACGTTGTGCTCCGACGAGGAATGATGATGACGGCAGGCTTGGGACAGTCAACTGCAGCTTTCGCTTACATGCATTTTGCGTCTAGGTCTACCTTATCGCTACCTTCTACAACATCAGCACCGCCACCGCCATCTCGGCTCTGGGAATTGAGATGCTGTCTACCTTCCTGCCCTTCCAACTCCTGAGGCCTTTGTCGGGCGCGCATGCTGGCGCTAAGAACGTCGCCAACCGCGAGATTCTCACCGATATCCCGATCCAGATCTACACCACCATTCTGTCGGCAGCTATCTACAGCCTTACCCTGTTTACTGCTTACAAGACGTACCTGCCCACCACCCTCGTGGTCTACTTCCAGGGGCTGCCGAGCCTTGCGCCTGCCTACACCACGAACTTTCTGGCTACATTGCCCGTGACCGTTGCGTTTGGTGTTGCAGCAAAGTCCTTCATCTTCACGCCCTTTGTCGCGACTGGCGAGACTTCCGAGGACGAGAAGCTGGCCGAATTCGACCCTGCGACGGCCACGCTTGGCGAGACTCTGGCGTGGAACATTTGGGGCTACACGACGCGGGCAAAGGTTGTCATCCTGCGAACCGTGGTCGCCATGGTTGTCACGGGTGTCAACACCTATCTGCAGACTTTCATGACTGTCAACGGCGTCGAGTCGTATGGTGCGACTGCTTACTCCGGCGCCTGGGTCGCCGCGGCATTCTTCACCGGCATCGGCCTTGCATTCGTCGGTGGTGGAGACTCATGAGCGGGGATTGGGGAATGTGTACCTTACTTTGCCTTGCGACCGAGGCAAATTCTACCTTGGCGAGGCGGACAGCAGATGCTGACTGTCCAAGAAGAGGAGTTTCGGGGCTTTTCGAGGCCAAGGGTGGTCTTCTTTTTTTTCGTGTTGCTATTCAGGGGACTTTGCGCAGTCTTGGAAAGGAGGGGAAGTTGCTTGCTTGAAGGGGCGAAGATGCACATCAAAACGCTGTTGCTGCAGCTGCATCGCCCAGTGATCCATCCAAGTCGATGTATACCAATCTTTTCTTGCGTCCTCTTTTTTTCTTTGTCTATGTCTCGAGTAGTGTATACGTCTTTTGGTCTTCCTGTTCTTCGTGCGTCTTGTCTGTCCGGCAGGCTCCTATTCGCCCGTGATACTGCAGTTTCCTAGAGCGAGACCTTTATTAAGACAACGTTCAAGCCAATATCGCAGGGGGTTGGACCGAGAATTAGTGACGTGATGGTTTCGCGACGTTCACTTTTCCCTAAATATGGCATGCATACGTTCTACACTCGTGACCCTTACACCATCCCGTTAACAAGGAAGAAACCCTCCCCCCCTCCCCCCCCCCGCGTTCCTTCCCCCCTTGCTAGAAAGTCAGCCTCGCCTGGACAATAGAATCGAGAGACTAGTCCCAATCCATCGGCTTCGTGCAGGAAGCTAGCGGAATTTGTTTCGTTTCCTTGTCTTGGATTATTTGGGACGAATACAGGGGAGAAGAGGAAGGGGGGAGAGGCTGTCTGATGTCTCTGATGAGTGGTCAGGTTAGCCGACGTAGGGCTGAAAAGATGGGGAGGTAGGTCAGGTAGGTAGTGTAGGAATGACGGAGGTTTCGGTCAGGGAAAAAAGCAGGATTTTGGATTTTGGATTACCAATGCGGATTCGGTGAACCTGACGCTCAGGACCTGATGAGCTGGGGATGTTGAGCTTGGATTTGGTGCCTTTGGGTATTGCGATTCTCCAGCTTGGTAGGGCACATCTTTATTTCCTGTTGCCTGCGCGGCTGATTAATGTTATTTTCCCCCGTGGAGCTGGACAAGCTGGGTTACGGATCACACGGGGACATGAGTCCAGGACATGGCAACATTGAGATTGTTGAAAAGTTGTCTCGAGTGAGGCGGACAAATAATATGCAAGCCTCGAGCAGATCGCGGCGCAAGACGCAGGCGCAGGGTTGTAGGTTGCAGGTGCAGGTGCAGCAGGGTGGAGGATTTCCAGGTTCCTGGATTGAGGTGTTGGTGGTGGAACTTGACGTGAATGTCCTCCTCTTCAAGTGGGTGACAAAATCGATTGCCGCTCTATAGGTATCCAGTCGAGCTCCTCTAACATTCTCCCTATTCTTCTTCTTCTTTTCAAGAGTATTTTCTAATGAATATATAAGAAATGAAAATAGTGGAAATAATAGAGATTATAGAGATGAAAGAGATAAGAAGAATAAAAAAGTTACTTGTAGGAACATCAAGTACCTTAGGTAAGTGAGCATTACGATCTTTTAATGACCAGCAATCCTATTTTGTCACCCACTTGCTCCTCCTCGGGAGCTCGGGCTTAAAGACTTCACTCCAGGGCATGACATCCATGAACATCTCTGTCCGGATTTCCTGATCGGGGTGATTTGCTCCAGGGCTAGTTGGGTTTGGCGAACCATACCGAGAGGATTATCGACCAGGGTTTCGTCGCCTCTTGTTTTCCTGGGGATGCCTATGGACCAATGTGGGATGGATCATGGGTACACGGAGTATTCGTTTCTCAAGGCAGTTTTCAGTCACTTTTTCTTTTTGCTTTTTCTTCATCGGGGTGGAGGAGAAAGGGGGGCGACGGGCAAACGGGTGACGGGCTTACGGGATTCAACTGAGACATGAGACATTGAAGTCTTCTTTTTGTTTCGTATTTCTTGCCTTTTCTCGACCACCTTGCGTAGCTGTTCGCTTGCTCGCCTGCGGCGCACATGTGTGGATTTTGTACGGAATCTGTACGTGTCCATTGAGGCTGCTGCTGCTGCTCCTACTGCTGCTGCCGCTGCCGCTGCACGCCGCGCCTAGGTGAGGTAGATCAGGGCTTGCGGTCGGGTTTGCTTTGTGCCCGGACGCAGGGCGGCGGCAGGGCGGCGGCAGGGCGGCAGGCAGGTCAGATCTTTGTTCGTTGCACGTAGGGAACATTCCCATGCACCGTAGCATTGCGGCTGGAGCTGGAGCTGGACCTGGACCTGGAAGCTGGAGAGCTGGCCAGCTGGGGGCAAATGGGCAATGAATCATCGACAATTGTATGTGCTGGGACAGCTGGGGGTAATGGATGGGTTTAGGCTGCCGCGCCCGGACGACGATGTCAAAAGAGATTTGGGAAATATTGCCCCTACCTGACTAATATGCCGTGCACTTGACGCGGCTGTTCGGGTCATGGGTGTGGGGGGTTGGGCTTTTGGGATGGGGAGGGGGGGTAACTCCGGGACTGGGGATTTACCGGGAAAACGACGATCAGTAGATCAGCTCTTGGGATTATATCACTTTTTGAGCAGGGGGTAGGTGGGAGGCACGGAAGATGGAGTTTGCCGACTTATTCTATGTAGGGCGAAAAGGAGGGGTGTTCAGGCACACCGCGGGGGAACATCGTCGTAGACAGACTCGTATCGTCCGCAATCTCTCTTCCTTGAGTGACGGTGATGGACCGGGGGGCAGAACGCATACTTGCAGTTTGTCCTTCAGCTTGTTCCGGTCGGACTCTTGATTGGGAAAGTGATGTTTCGATTATGTCCATGGAGCGGCTGAGGCTGATGTCTTTTTTCTTGTCTCCGGTGGGCATTCTGCCCAGTGTGCCGGGCGGACGAAGCATGGTGGTGGTTGGATCCAGTCGGAGAGGTAAGGTAGGTATGGAGAAGTTCGGGGCAGCTTTCTTGCTGTTTCGTCGATATATGATCTTCAACGGACCGCCCATTTTTCTGGGAATGGTATATGGCTTTTGGTATGTTACCGCCGAGCTTTTAGAGTTATTTTCACATATCCCCCTCAGTGGAGACCATTCACAGTCATCTTTTCGGGCTTTTTAGAGTCCCTTTTTATTGGGATATAAGACGGATCAATGGCTCCCAAGTCCAAGCAGTCGTCGAGGAAGGGCAAGGAAGCCGCCGCCGCCGCTGCTTCTGCCGCCCAATACGAATACTACGACGAGGTTTCTCCCGCTGGCACGACGGGTAGTTATTATGCCTCCTCGTCGACCACGGCCACGACCGGACCTAGTCCGCTGACGGAGTACGACGAGACCCCCGGTGTGGCGGCGGCGGCGGCAACGGCGACGACTACGGCTGTCGTCCAGTCCAAGTCCATACAGAGCGAGGGCGAGATTGTGTTACAGGGCCCGCTCGAGGTCGCTGGTTCTGTGAAGGCTGGGGGGAATATCATGCTGAATGGGGACTTTGATGTGAGGGATAAGGTAGAGGCGTATGGCACGGTTGATGTCAATGGGAATTTGGTTTGCGAGTAAGTACCTTTTATCTCTCCTGTAGATTGAGCATACATAGAGATGTACAGTATACTGATATCACGGCGGGAATAGTGGGAAGATGAAAGCCTATGGCAATATTTCAGTGGTGGGGTACATGTCTATTGGGTGAGTTTGTGTCTTTTTGATGCCACTATAATCGAGAGAAGATGGCGCTGATATGTGTTTTGGCAGTGATAAGGTCAAAGGCTTTGGAAAGTTGAGGGTCATGGGGACGTGTGAGGTCAATGACCTCGAGATATACGGAAACACGACGATACACGGGTTCTTGTAAGTTGATCCATTCCTCTCCGAGAGGCCTGGGTTCTGACTTTGTGTTGTAGGAAGTGCAAGAAAATGCTTCTGTACGGGTCCCTCACAATCGTGGGTCCGAATTCAGGGTATCACGTTGAAGAAGAGGAGAAGATTTGGGGAGCAATTATAAGTCGCGAGGAAGATACGAGTTGGTGAGACTGTGATGCTTTACGCAGTTACGGAAATAGATGGGAATGAGTACATCTTGAAGGCCGATTGAAAGGTCTCGGATGTCTCGAAACGGTGGTTCGGATGTCAGGGTGTTAGTTTGTCATTGGGCGTTTTATGAGACGGCGTTTGGTACTGGCGTTGACAAGGAATGGCGGCATTGGTGGGAACACTGCTTGAGAGGCATTTTTCTAATTATAGAAATGCAAATCCGGAATGGAATTTGACGATTAAACTTTTTTTTGCTCGTGCTTCCGCGCCAATTAAGACACTGGGCTCTCTCTTGACCGTTGTGAAACCCTATTTTAACCTGTGGACCGTGGGGTAGAATCATGGCAAATGGGTAACAGAATTTGACTTGTCTAGATCTCTATAATTACTATAACTATTTTTATTAATAGTTCTTTTCTCCTTCCCCTTCTTTAAATTCTATGTAGAATAAATGTTAAGAAGTACTAGAAGGGATAACATAAAAGATAGTGACGGTAGCGTGAGAGGCGATAGAACGTACCTTTGTATGTTGGGGCATTGGCTAGCATGCCATTTTGTTACCCACTTACATGGCCACAATGAAAGGCAAAAACCGAGATGTAACCGCATCGCCACATGCGCTCGAGTAGCCCGACGATGCCAATGCCCTCGACGAGAAGGTCATCGGCCTTATTGACTTCGCTGGCAAAGACACGATGATGTTCACCACTGGCCGCTGGGCTCAATCTGGTTCGTGTCGTAAGTTGATATGACTAAGACTACCACCTAATCCTCCGCCTCATCGCTGATTCGTCCCAGGCGTTCCGCCAGCATCCCTTTTTGCGCTTCGATAACTTCATCTAAAGTGACTTGCAGCGAGTCCATGTCCTGCTTCTTCTTCGCTCTTCCCGCCCTCTTGTACGCGTTGCCTACGATGGTCTTGGCCAAAGTCTCAACGTCACGGCCACTGGCCCATCCCCTCGTTAGGCTGAGCTTTTTGAAGAGACGGTAGACCGTCTCCAACTTGCCATCGTTTGCTACTCTTGCTCCCAGAATGTTGATCTTGAGCTTCTGGACCTCTTGCCTCAGATGCCTCAGACATGCGTGTGGGCTCATAGGCTGGAATACAACCTGTTCTGGGAATCTACTACGCAATCCAGGATTGACCTGTAGGAGAAAGTCCATCTCGACGGTATACCCTGCCAATATTATAACCATATTGTTTCTGTAGCGCACTTGGGTCATTGCATCGACTAGCTCGCCGATAGCCTCTACATGGAACTCGGAATCGTTCGCAAGCCGATAGGCTTCGTCGATGAACAAGACCTTTCCGAGGCCAGTCTCGAGAGTATTGAGAACTTTCGGTCCCGTTTCTCCCACGTGCTTTCCAACAAGATCACTGACCGAACAGGTCACAACCTCCTCTGTGGAAAGGAGGCCCATGTCATAGTATAACCGCCCAACTTTTTCGCGCGGTTGAAGTCTTGCCAGTGCCTGGTGGCCCCTTGAAAATGAAGGTCCACGGAATGTGAGGTCTGGGGTCTATGTCGTAAAGCCGCATGCCAGCGACTAAGTTCTGATAGCCTTCAAATTGCTCAACGATCCTGTTGAATCCGACGAAGCCTTCAAAGAGCGTAGCGCGGCTTTTGCCAGCTTGCGATTCCCGGTCCCAGTGTGGGTCAATGTCGCCAGGCTCTATGACAACATCTACAGACCCTGATTCACGCGATGCGGACGTGATTCGTGCGTTGATGCGGACTTTTGCCTGGTTGAGTAGATTCTCGACGTCGCCCGCGTTCCCGAACTTGGGGTTGATACGCATGCGGCTCAAGACTTGTCTAGACACCGCCGCAGCGTCCTTTGACATCTCGAGGCCACTTTTGTCGACTTTCAGATCCATGATCTGGCACAGCTCATCCTCGCTGTAGGTGTCGAACCGCAACGCAGTCTCCTTGGGGAAACGTCGCTGGAGCCCAGGGTTACTGTTGTTGAACAGTTGTCCCATTTGATAGTCGTAACCAACCAGGATGATGCACCTGTCCTCTGGTTCGGCGGACACATTCGCAACGAGGGTGTCGAGGACGGCGATGCGAAAGACGTCCGTCTTGTGACCGGCGTCCTGGGCTCCAGGATAGAGCATATGTGCATCATCAATGATCAGCACATTCCCTCGAGCTTCTTTCAAGACGCCCATGGTCATTTTTTCGGAGTGTCCTATATATGCGCCGATCAAGTGGGATGGGTTTCGCAACATGATCTTCTTTCCGGAAACGAGGCCAAGATCGATGAGTATCTGGCCGTAAAGCTGCGCAACAGTCGTTTTACCTACGCCAGGTGGCCCGAGGAACACTCGGTTAAGACCAATCTTGAGCGGTTCCATACCTTGAAGCTCTCGGCGGTAGTTGATCTGGGCATAGTCGATGATATCGCCGCATTCACTCTTGACCTTTTCGAGCCCTATCATATCCTGAAGCTTCTTCCATGACTCGTTATCGTTTCTCAGATCTTTCGGCTCTGTACCTAGAAGGTCCTCTGACTTTAGTATCTTTTTTTGACCATTGGTTGAGTCGACAAGCCTGCGATCATTGAGGTCCTCTCCGTCTTCCAGTTCTCGTCGCGGAAAATTTACCGGTCGAGATCCTCCAGTCGAAACATTCCTGAGCCATTGAGCGTATTCTTTCTGCAGCCGAAGACTTCGTCTTGGGCATGCCTTTTCCAGTTCTTCTTCTAGGCGGTGAACGTTGGAAAACGATTTCGACTTCCGCTCTCGTGCCACTCGCTGCACCAAGGCACGAAGGCTGCGATCTTCGAACCCACCCTCAACCGACATGCCCCTTTTCTGTATCATACGCACAGTGAGCTGCTTGAGTTCCTCGTTGCTGTAGTCTGCAAGAACCAGAGGGCTCGGTAGTTCCTGTGAAGCCTTCTCGTTGCCCTCGATAGACTCGAGAAGAGAATTCTTTCGCGTGGAGATGATTACAACAAACATTAATGCAGTCTTAGTGAGGTCCGCCGTGGTATCTGAGCTCTGTATACGGTATGAATCGCGATTATTCCAAGGGCTATATGAGCTGCTGTCGTCACTTTCAGAGGAATCGTAGTATGCACTGTCTGACGAAGCCTGACCGAGATTTGGTTTGTCATAGAACATAACCTGATAATTGTCAGAACTTAGCAGCGCGTGGTCGCGGGTTTAACTTACTGTTGGATGAAGTTTCCTTTCAGGCCTTCGCCTACGATTCGGGAAGCTCATCGGGAGCAATAGTGATAGTCAGAATGATGAGGACGTTGATGACAATGTCGAACAAAACAATGCCTACGACAGCGATTTGGATTCAACCTTGGGCAGCACAGATCAGCAAAACCACGCTCGGAAGATGAGAAAGTGGAAAGGCCTTGCCAAAGGGCGTTTCGAAAGAATGCTTCTGATTGCATCGTCAACACAGGTCTGAGTCCAAACACAACGATGTGAATGTTTCCAACCCCACTAACCATATGTGATAGATAACATAGCACCAAACTATCGTGACATTTTTATTGATCTTTCCATCATCAACAAACTGGAGCAAGTGAATTCGCTTTCGCTCTTACGCCCGAAAGCTTTCTCTTGTGGCGTGCTCAAGGGGAATAAGGTTACGGGTTCTGTTCTCTAAGAACTCCCAGGCACGGGCATAAGCATGTTGGCTAGAGGCATGGCGAAACAATCAGGGTTCAACATGCTATCTATCTCAACATCCGAGGTCTGGCAGAAGTGCCACGGAGAAGACGAAAAGATGATCAAGGCCATCTTTTCTCTGGCTCGAAAACTATACCCTTGCATCGATTTCGTTGACGAAGCTGATTCAATGCTTGGTGCGCGCAAAGCTGGCGAGAAGAGGCATATCAGGTCGATGCTGGATCAGTTCCTCATGGAGTGGGACGGCTTGATTACGGACACAAGAGCTCCTCCCTTCGTTTTACTTGCTACAAATAGGCCGTTCGGTTTGGACCCGGCCGTTCTTCGACGAGCACCTGTGCAAATACATCTCGACATCCCCACGCAGGACGAGCGAACTGATATACTTGGCTTGTTGGACGAGGATGAGACGCTGCAACACAACAACACGGATCATATCGCCAAATTAACCCCGAACTACACTGGGTCAGACCTCAAGAATCTCTGCGTCATGGCTGCTACCAACTGTGTGAATTCACAGCTGAGCGATACGACCGAGCGCATCTTGACGAGGAAACACTTCTACACGGCAATCCAGACTATCAGCGCGACCAATGTAGGCAGAGTGAGCGCGAACGAATTCAAAAGATTCGAGGAACGACTGCAGGGGAATGGCGAGGGCTCAGCGAGGGATGCAGACGAGGACTAGAGTGGATTATAGCTGCGCCTGGGCAACGATCTCTCTGCTCGTTACAAATTGATAGTGACATCAGGTTGTTGTTTAGTACTGAAAAATGGGATTGAAAAAGTACAAGAGAGGTCACAAGTACGATAAATACCTAGACAATAGTAGTCGCGACAGGCGTTGCTTATATAAGATTCTTCCTGGTGAGTACCAGCAATACCAAATGCCAGGCCAGACCAAATAGGTGCAAATATGTGGTATCCCATCAACCGCTAGATGTGTATCAACATATATGTATACGTACCTTCATAAAAAGTCCTAATAACAATATATATAAATCCGACTTTGTTTCCCTTGTATTTGCTTATGAATAGTTTTGAAATAAAGTGGAAGTTAGAGAAAGACTGGAAACGGACATACTAATGCCTTTGAAGGTAGTAGTTGATGATATAAAGGACGGGAGGCAAAGCAAGGGTACGTACCGAAGGTTTCTCCGCGTATTCGGAAGTTGAATAATCCGCGATAGATATGTCCTGGTCGTGCACGGACTTGGTGCGTACCAATCTGGCCAGCGCATCTGTCAGTGGATGTTAGGTGGAAGCCCCGCCAGCCCCATCGCAGCTGCCCCCAAGGTCCCTAACGGCAGGGAGCTCACAGAGCTAAACCGAACATCACGTCAGGTCGCGACTCCCCTTGCATACGCGACCCGCAACCTCATCACAAGCATGCGCAACTGTACTTCGCAACACGCCCAACAGCCACCATCGATTTTCCGGTGTCAAATGCATCCATAGTGATCGATGCGCCGATTTCCAGGCCCGCAAAACATCCTCTCATTGCACCCCTTCCGAGGAAATGGCCTCTACCGAGGAGGGCGCAGACGCCATGGACATTGAAGTGTCACCCAAAAACAGGACCTCGGTCGAACACGATATACACCAGTCGCTCGGTTCCATCAGCAACTCCGTCGAGTCACTCGAGATGCGCGCCGATCCAGACGCGCAAGCTACCGTCACCGACTTCCTTGACTTTACCGAATACCTTCCTTCCGATATGACGCGATCATTGACCCTGATCGGCAAGCTCGACCAAACATACACCGAAGCGTCAATCAACGTTCACAACCTCACCTCGACCTGGGGAAAGCTACCTAGCATTCCCGCTGAGGAGCGTCCATCTCCCGTACAATTGCGCGCAGATATTTCCGACAGCCTGAACCACGCAGTCAGCTCCCGGGTTTACGCGCATGCCGAGGCAGTGCGCATGTCTGAGAACGTCAACCGTCACTATAATCGCGCAAACACGATATTGGCTAAGTTGAAGAACCTGCTGGAAAACTATCCGGCAGAGGAACAAAAGAGCCCCGTGGCGACCTCCAAATCTCAGCTTGTCAGAGCGCCGCGGGTGATGCGAAATGGAGATGGCGAGAAGGTGCGAAGGCCACGGATACCCAGGATTACTGTGCCTGGCGAAGTACTGCCGCCGTACGACCAGTTCGTAGCATACTCGGACGACAGTGATGAGAGCTCTGAAGAGGAAGACGATGAATCTTTGGGACGGACGCCAGCTCGGACAACGCCAGCACCGCGCATCAAAGTTGTCAAGACCCCCAAAGCGAGGCCACCAAAGACCCCAAAGGCTGCGTCCTCGTCGCGACCTCCCAAATCTGCTGCGGGCCTGGCTGCTGCGGCAACTCCCGCTGTTGTGCTGCAACCTCCGCCAGAGAACGCCGTCATAGGAAGCGCGGACGCCCCCTGGTTGCAATTGACGCCATGGGAACTTGCGAGGCTTAGAAAGCGGATGAAGAAGAATGCAACATGGAGTCCTAGTGATACCATGATTTTGCGAGAACTCAAGACGCTCGGCCGTGGCATTGATGCCTACAAGGAGGCAAAAAAGAAGGCCGAAGACGAGGGCAGAGTTTTTGACCAGGTGCCTGCGGCTCTGGCCCCTGATGCTGAAGCTGGCAACAAACCAATTCCGGAAGGTGCCATTAGCGCCGCTGCGCTTGCGTCTGATGACATCCAGCTGAGCAATCGGGGCATGAAGCTCAACGAGGCCAAGAAGCTCAAGCGAGAGTCACTGGCTAAACAGGCTGCAGAAGAGGCGGAAGAATCAGCCAGACAGTTTAGGGAAGCTGCAAGACTTTTGATGTCTCATGAAGCATCGTCATCATCGGCCGCGAACAACACCAACACCAACAATAACAACAACAACACTACTACACCATCCACTGCAAACAATAATGCAACCAACACAGCTGCAGATCAGCCGAAAGGCACAAGCAAAGCGAAGACTCCGGCCAAGCCAAAACCCAACGGCAACAAGCGGAAGAGAGATTCTATCCCAGAAGCTGAGGCCGAGAAGCCTGAGCAGCCGCCAGTTGAGACACCAGCGCCTCGTCCCGCTCCGAAGCGCACCAAGACGGAGACTCCGGTCCCGCTTCCTCATCTAAGAGCCAGTCTCGCTGCGCAGCCTCTAACAGAGTCTACTATACCACCTCCTGTTCTTACACCAGGCGGTACTGCGGTTACTCCCAAGATGACAACCCCAGTGCCGATTCCTGTTCCCGGACAAGATGGCTCGGCGACAATAGGCACTGGCGCTGCGGCTTCGAAGCCAGCGAACACATCCGCGCCGGCCTCTTCGCCGACTGGTTCGGTTGGGCCTCCGGCGTCAGTCGCAAGCACTGCTCCGGCAAGTATACTGACCAAGCCACCTGCAGAGACGCCAATACCGCCACCCATCTTGTCCCCCAAGAAGTCAACCACGCCCATTCTTCCTCCGGTGCGTGACTCGGCAGCCCGAAGGGAAACAAGGGGGGAGATGGCAAAGAAGAATCAGCAGCAACTGGATAACCCCACACCAGTGCCGGCGCCACAGGTTCCGCAAGCACAGCGCTCGTCATCTGCAGCGCCTTCGATCAAACAATCAAGCTCGCGTGCGGCGACACCAGGCACCACACCGGTGCCCGACGGCCAAGGGAGACGTCCCAGCTCGCGAGGAAAAGCTATGAGTCAAGAGCCACAGCCTTCGCTAGCAACTGACCGACCCCGTCGCGCTAGTACCGCGCGAAATACGCCAGCTCCCGAGCAGCGACAGCAGAGCAAGAGGACTAGAAAGCCTGTGCCTGGTATCGTCAGCAAGACCAACGCTGGAGGCAGCAGTGCCGTGGGTAAGCGAAAAGCGGCTCCCAAGAAGAAACGCGCTCAGAAAAAGGAAAAGGGCCAGCCGATCGAGATCGAGTTGGAAGAAGACGACGAGGGTAACCCAATCGACCCAAAAGAGCCACGATACTGCGACTGCAACAGAGTTAGCTTTGGCGAGATGATTGCGTGCGACAATGAAGTAAGTGCTTTCCGTCTAGCTCGAGGTCTAGAATTATACTGACAATTGTTCTTTTCTGCGTTCAAAAGAATTGCGATAAGGAATGGTTTCATCTAGAGTGCATGGGTATGACCCATATTCCTGCGCGGACGACGAAGTGGTACTGCCCCGATTGTCGCCTTCGTCTGAACATTGGGGAGAAGGGCGAGATTAATGCTAGGGGGATTAAAGCTTGAGATGAGGTCTCAGATGCGAGGTAAAGCGTTGAATTAAAGGGAGATAACTCCAAGGGTGTTTTAGAGGTGATTTTTAGGAGCGAGAAGTGAAGCTTGCCCAAGCTCATGACGGGCAAGGAGCCATTACTGTACATTATTATTCGAATGTATCAACAGTATATGAAAGCTGCACCACGGTGTGGCTGTTACGGCATCTGCGAATCTTCTAGTGACGCGTTGTTGACGATTGCGAGGGGATGAACATTGTTGATGCGAATGAACCGACTGCTTACTGCGTACAACAACTTATCTTGTGGCTGCGTTACATGTTGTCCTAAACAGGTAGACTTCTATAGAGTACCATGATCGGGCGACGGGACTGCGGTGGGTTACACGGGACCGTTCGGCACATGTGGGGCCGGCCACTGCTCTGTGTCCGGCTTCTTACTCAATGCAACGAGTGGCTGGTGGTTAGCGTGGCCAGTGCATTAAATCGAGTTATGAATTCCAAGGACATTGTCGATAAGAGCGCCTAGAGCGCGCACATGTCTGAGTAGGCTTCAGCGTGCACAAGCGAGCTCGATTCCAAATTTGGCTCAGAACTGTCGTATTGTTGTTCGTTGGCGAGATATGCGGGATTGAGGTATTGAAGTTGTTTAAAGTCAAAGTGGTTGATGGTGGTCAGTGCGCATGCACCTTCCTGGGTTGATGTTGGTGATGTATCTGAAGCACCCCCGTGCCTACCTACCTTTTCCAGTATGTTTGCTGTTCTTTTTTTCCATCTCTTTCTCTCTTGCTCCATTTCATCTCAACACTTCTACGAGTCGTCCAAGTGTTTCATTCATCCCAAAATTCAGCTTGCGAGTCACTCTCTTGTGATTCCTGAGTGCTGAATTCAACGGATGCATCTAGCCAGCCGACTTACACGCGCCTGCCTCAACGTGGTATCCACGTTTTCATACCTCCGAGCCCTTTTACCACCGATTCCCTCTCAAATCAAGCAGGCCCTGAAGATGGGCATTGCGGGGTGCGTTCAGTCTGATTTGTTTTCGCGGGGGCTTGATTTGACAATCGTTTCTACTTGTACTAATCATATCTTGTTAGTTTTTGGGAACTCGTCGACCGGGCAGGCGTCGAGAGATCCTTTGCACAATGGGCCACTGATCACTTGAAGGAACAAAAGCGACCACTTCGCATCGCTGTCGATGCAGCCCATTGGCAGTTCAAGAATGTCTCTGACGCCCAGGAAGCTGCTATTCAACAACGTTGGTCACCCATTTCCGTCAATCCCTCATTACTGCCTTGATCTGGTTTGCCAATTTAGTTTATTCATGTGTATTCTGCACCATTTTCAACTTATGCATTTTTGTTTCTCTTTGGAACACAAGAGATTGCCGAGGCTGACAATCCCGACTAGAATCACCAGGTTCCCACCCACGAGAGAAGGCCATCCTCGAACGTTTGCTGCCGTTGATGCGGCTCGGTATCCATGTGGTATTTGTCTTCGACGGGGAACAGCGTCCACAAATCAAGCGGGGCTCCAAACGGTATGGCCAACGAGGATCAACCAGCGCCCTCTTAAAGAATACACTGGATCACATTCTCGTACCTTGGCTCCAAGCACCAGGCGAAGCGGAGGCCGAGTGCGCTTTACTCCAGCAAGAAGGTATCGTCGACGCAGTCTGGTCTGAGGATGGCGATTGTTTCATGTTCGGCTCCACTGTTGTCATCAGAGACCTGCGGGATACCAAGAACCACAAGTTCAAGGAACATGCGCGAATCTTCGACATGAGAGGCATCCGTCGCTTGAATGCTGGGTTTTACAATAAGAAAAGCGTCACCTGTTTCGCCATGCTTACCGGATGCGACTACGCCCCTTCTGGACTTTTAGGCTGCGGGACACGTCTGGCTCAAGAGCTTGTCAAAGACGGAGACCTTGTCGAGGGGTTCTGGCGTATTCAGACGCTTCCTCAAGCGAATCAATGGCGATCGCGTTTGGAGGATTCGATTGAGGACATCACCAGCCGGACGAATCTGCACTTCAACACGGAAAAGTCCAACATCATGACTTTCCCTGATCTTCGGGCCCTCAAGAATTGTCGCTCGCCAGTCGTGTCAACCTTGGCTACACTCGGAAGGCTCTCTTTCCTGCAGGATGAGTGGTATGGCACCCACACAACGAATAGCCTGGCAACCACGATTCCTTGGATGCAGCAATACTACTTTTCAAGAATGACCACTGTTTGGTGGGTCAGGCAGTTTACGCCTATGGTATTGAACCAGAGGCTTCTCAAAGGCGAAGCTCAGGCTCTAGATCTCGTCGCCAAGGTTGCACAAAAACGCAAGGAGAGCCCAACGAGTTCCATCGAACTCGACCCCTGTATTGTGTTTCCCGGTATCGAGAGTGTCTTCATCGAATCCGAGGGAAATCTTTTAGTGAACAGATGGCGAAACGATCGCGAGTCGGCGGGCAGTCCGATCAAGAATGGGAAGTTTGACATGCTGGATGCATTTCTAGGGCTTGGGATGTCCGACGAAGCGTACCAGGCGTGGAGGAAGAAAAAGCGTTCACCTTCAGCAGCCAAAATTCATCCGGCACATTCAGCGCGGGCAAGTCCGCCTCCTCAGATGAGTCTTGGCCGCCAAATACATTTCCCGAACAGTTTTCAGGCGAACGGCGGTGTTCTTGAAGACTCAATGGAGCTCTCGCACATCGCCTTTGATGCCAATGGTGGCGCCGAAACCATTCCGCCAGACCTTCTGAGGCTCCAAGAGCAGATTCTTGCGGACTGCCAGGCGAACAAGATTCGCACACCCGCTATAGAGCTTCGAAGTCATAGTCAAGTTGGTCAGGACAAGTCTCTAATTGACAGCAGACACTCTGAGGGGTTGGTCGCGCCCTTGCTGGTCCACAAGCATGCCATAATGGCGACTACGAGCCCTTCAGGTCGTTCCATGTCCAAGGCTGCAACGACGGCGAGTCTCGCTGATATTAGAAACAAACGACTTCCAAAGTTCGAAGCGAAGCGAGGCATAGAAAAGACATCGAGAGGTACGGGATACGATGGAAGCATTGCTCTTCGATACGGCAGCGCTTACAGCCTCGACGACGACGACGACGATACTCTCCACGAGTCGACGTCCGCCAAGAAGAGAAGGCTGGAGGAAACCACTGCGGAAGATGTACGAACCGAGGCCGCCGGGATGAGAGCAAGGCGCATGCTTCTTGAGATTGAGCTGGACTCCTCCCAGGGTTCCATTCGGATTGCCAAGGCGAAAGGAGACGGGCGATGCAAGTCTACAGCACGGGAAGCTGTGACAGGTGCCGCTGAAGCGCGGATGAATGGTGGCGGCACAGTTGACGATCCATTCGAGATCTCGTAACGGAGTTTTTCATCTCAAACCTTTATTCTTCGGCTTCAACCTGATCTATCAGGTGACTAGAGCGAGCTTATAATCTGATCCTGAAGGGGTAAATACGTACGGATGGAATGGAGGGAACGATATCATGTACTGTACAAGCATTATCACAAGCCAAGCAACCTGCGCAGAAGAATATCATACCCGAGTTGATGTATTTGTATGCCATCAACTATAAAATTCAGAACAGCGCGTCGCGTCTTTGGAAGTAGGGTGAGATCAACTTTTAAGTCCCTTTCCGACGGAACTTCCGGGGAACGCATAGGTGCAGTATGTGATGAATAAGACGACGAGCATGGATTTGCATTGGAAACCGGTCAATGGTTTCGCGATTTCCTTCCCGAGGTAAACATTCCGAAGCTTTCATCGGGTGCCGTCAGGGCTTCCGGGCCGAAGACTTGTGGGGATGGATGGTGCTTCCCCCCCGCCCGCCGTCCCGCACCTGGGAGCGGGAGACGGATATAAACGTCACCTTGCTTCCTCCCACGTGCTTGCAATAGTACGCTACTCACAATAACATTCACTACCTTCCTTACCTTATTACAGAGTATTCCTTTGCAAATATACGCAAACTCTTGAAGGAGGACTAAGGTTTCTGAGACTTCGCCAACTAATAGAAGGGGACAAGAATGGCTTCATTTGCAGCCACAGAGGGCGTGGAGCCCCACGACAGCTACTCCAGAATGGAGCCGTTCTCGGCCAGCGAGACGGCCATGGAGCGGGACCTCCGGCTCCGGATACGGGACTTTTACCGGACCAGCGACAACAGGGACTTGAACGAGCGCTGGATCGAATTCTACACGCCCGATGCCAAAGTGAAGATTGGTCCGGCGGCGGCAGAGAAGCATGAGAGTGAGTCTTACTACCTACTTAGTACCCAGCATGTGCTTTGAGGCACGGGGACGGCTGACATGTTTGTATTCATCAGACCTCCGTCAACTACGGGCGGACATGTGGAGCTCTGTCGCGGCGAGGAAGCACTGGATCACGAGTGCGATCGGGTCCGCTACCGAAAAGGGTGTGTACGTCATGCTCAAGGGGGGAGTTCGGAGGAAGGGGTTGGATGGTGCTGAGAACGTCTTCAGCTGGGCGGGTAGCGCAGACTGGGTGAAGCAGGATGGGGAGTGGCGGATGGATGCATATCGAGTTTGGCTCGACCAGTGGGCTCCCATTGAGGGGGAACTGCCTTCGGTGTCAGAGTTTTGAAGTGTGACATATGACGGCGCTGGCTAAAGCGGAATATCCAGAATTGAGCAGTGTGTCGAATAGCAATGAGAAGTGTATGTGAGCCGGAGCAATCCAGCCATTGAGATGTGGCAGTCATTCATTGAGCGTCGGACGCTTGCCAATTGGCGGCGCAATGCGATTTGTCGCAGCCACCGTGTTTCGGCGATGGCATTGCTCTGCCCGTCTTTAGCAGCGAGCAGATTGGCCTTGAGTTCGTCGATGACGGCAGATTCATCCGGTGATGGCTTCGACCTCAGACCGCCCCATGCGCTTGCTTGCGCTTCGACGGCGTAGCGGACGCGGCTGGCCCCGTGCCTTGCATTCATCGCGCGTCGCCTCGTCCAGGCTTGGTCTTGCGTAGCTACGCCTCATCCGAATGGGTTGCTTAAGTAATTGGACCGAGGGTAGCCAGGAACTCAAGTAGATATTGCCTCAACAGAATCGTGACAAGTCGCCGGCATCTCAGTTCTTGAAACGGCGATGATCGAGGTTCACAATCCACCCAGTAAAGCTGAAGGCGAGGTTGGGGGAATGAGGAGGGGTATCCAGGAGAGCCCCTCCATACGTCAGCTATGGTGCGTTGTTCTCGTGGTCCACGGTAGAGCTGTGAGTGGCTCGTTCACCTGACGTGGTGCCCCCCGTTCCTCCACCGAGGGGGGGTCAGGTGTCTTTGTCAGTCGGACGGTCTGGCCCTGAGCCGCCGAGTGTGTGGCAGTTTAATGGGGAAGCGGTGCGATAGGACGGACGGATGACCGTCGACGGGAGGATACGGGATAACGACGGCATACTGTAGAGGGAATGGAAGGACACCGTTAATTTAGTCTGGAATCCGTCCATAATTCCACCCCAGGAGGAAGCCTGGCCCAGTTAGCACCAGTTGAGACTGCGCCGCTTGTCATCAGGCCAAAGCGGGATGATGGCATCGGTCACCAGCCCCAGATCGTCACCTTCATCTGTCTTTTGTCCGTCTTGCCGTCGTCCGTCTTTCGTCTTCAAAGTTGCTGGCACAGAGGTAAACGCACGCACAGCCCAGGTGTCAGCAGCTGGTCCCCGCTCCAAGGATGGCTTGTTGGGGGTTTGTGATGGGATTTGTGACAGCAGTAGTAGGTATTTGGCATGCCAGGCTTGGACATTGTAGCTTTTGACTGGACCTCGCGCCGTTGCCGCCTGCATCTCCGGCCTCGGCAAGAGACTCTATGTGCGTATGCAGAGCTGAGCTTAGGTAGGCGTTTGAGTGACTTTGTGAGTGTGTGTACCAAAGTGTGTGAGTGTGTGGCAGACACTTCGGAGATTCGGTAGAAAGCAATGGAAGAAAATGTGTCAATCTAATGGTGGACGGATGAGAGGGGTCTCAGACAATATTGAATTCGTAGTTGAATCAGTGTCCCGTTCATCTGGCATGACGGAGAGTTTGATTTGGTCGCTTCCGTCAGGAATTCTGAGGATAGATGAACTGATAACGCTACTGCGCGCGTACTCGGTGCCTGCAATCAACTAGTAGGTGAAAGAGAGAATAGGCCGAAAGGCGCAAATAAAGGAGGTAATTAATAAGTTGGAGCTTAGCCAGGCTGGGCTGGGCTGGGCTGGACTGGACTCAACTCCGGTTGCTGAGGTTCAATGTCGGTTTGAGAGAAGTGAGCGAGAGCGAGGGCTTGTAAAGTGATCGGAAGTGCCTCTTTGGCGTCTTGAAAGTGTTAGCCTTGGTAACCCGCGCCCGTTGCAGCCCAGCTTCAGGTGTCTTCCATTGTCTCTACGTACCTGCAATACTGTTGTAATTGAGAGGTACCTGTTCGTAGGAAGTCAGGACCATGTATCTTCCGTCAGCTGGTACGGTCATGTTCGAGTTCTCCGACAAGCAAGAGCTGCGGCGGAGGTACGGGAAGATACATGACCAGGTACACAGCACCGGGGCCCCCAGACTGGCAGTCGCAAGAACCAACCACCCCCCCTTGTCCGCTGCGAGCTGGTCCAAGATGGGTGCGCTGTATCTGCAGACTGCATCTGTATCCGCGGTGCGCGTCCTGCCCGTGATGCGTACCGCAGGTACCTGCCGGGCGAGGTTCAAGCCGAGAGTTACCTCCAGCCTGGAACCTACCAGCTCGTGGATGCAGTTGCAGAACAGTGCCAATCCAATCGCAGAATCCCACCATCTGTCTCTCTGTTTCCCCCTCCCCCTCTCTGAAGAGTGCATCCCAGCAAGTTGTCTGCACTTGACACCCCTGTCACTCTAGTTCAGGTTCCTCCAACAGACTCAGTGAGAAGGGGGGCATGGAGGGGTGGCTTGGAGAGGAGACTGGATTGATTGGGGGGCACGCCGCGCCGTACTCCGTACTCGGGGGTGATGGAGGCGCGCAATGGAACCTGAACAACCAACTGGGGGAGAGAGCGAAAGCATTCAAATGCCCCGCTTCCATCCCGCGGGCGGCCAGCAGCTGAAGGTACCTTGCCTGAGGTGCCTCAGATATCTTTTCATTGCTAGGTATGGTAGCAAGCAAGGTTCTGTTGTGCCTGGGTACGTCGTTGTGACTGAAAGTGAGGTGTTGTTGAGTATGAGAGTTGGCAGGCCTCTCGCATACCAAACGAAGCAACTTGGAACCGTCAGAGAGGCCGCCCTGTTACGTGCCCAGGTGGTGCAATGTGGTGTCTTGTTTGGATAGTACGCCCGGCTACCGGTACCTACCTTACTGTACGTACACTACCTTTACCTAAGGTGAGGGATGGAAGGAAAAGGAAGGTCTCCTCTCCGTATCTTATCTTACCTTAGATGCCGCTGCCGCCGTGGAGGGGGTGGAGGCGGGACAGACCACCCACCCCCGCCATCAGCCACGGAGAGAGCAGCAGCAGGTCCAAGTCAGGCCGGGGGTACCTAAGGCACGTAGAGTACTCCGTACCTATGGAAGGTACACAGTAGTACCACCGCACCTCACCCCAACTGGAACTGGAACTGGACCGGACCTGGGACCTGCCTACCTGACCTGACCTCACTGTCACTCACTCTTCCCCGTGCTCTCTCCTTCGACTCAACAACACCAACAACTCAAACAACGATCCACGATAGCAGCATTCCCGTGAACACAGCAGTCACGTCACGTCCGTCACGACCTGTCACGTCTTTCCTCTTCTGTCTTATTCTATAGATTTTCCTTCGGCCATCCTAGTAATCTCTCTCTTGCTCTCCACTTTGGCAGTGCCTGCAAAGAAAGCCGCTCTTTTCCCTCTCTTTACTGCTTCTTTCCTTCGCTTTCACCTCCAACCCGACGTCCATCTTGCTTACCGACCGGTATTCGACTTGTTCCGTCTTGCTTTGCCTGCCTCTATTTGCCACGCAAACCTGTTCATATTCAAAGCATTTACAAAAAAAAAATAGCCAGCGGTAGCCTTCGTCATCCGAGGTCATCTGCCGCCTTTGTCGACCCCTCGCGCGCGATTCTCTAATAGATCAACAACTCAAGTCTCGTCCTTTGCAGCCTTCCAACGAACCTCATACGACGAAACCGAGCCACGTACTACGACACTTGCATACTCGTCTCGTATCGACTTCCTCGTTCCCAAATAAGCGGTACAGCTGGCTTGCGGAAACGCAGGTCCTTGGAGCAGGAGACTGCTCCAATTGCCGCGCAACACCACTTGAATGCCGAGTAAGTTCGGGTCTCTCTCTCCTGCGCCCCTGAGCTGCCATACGCGCCGGAACCCATGTAGCATTGCCATACTCATCATCTCATTCTCTTCAGGTTCGA